AGATTTCATCAAAAATATCTTCATTTGTGCTCCGAAGATGAACGAAGGTCTTACAGGTTTGGAACGACATGAGGGTGAGTAATTAATGACAGAATTTTCATTTTTGGGTGAACTATCCCTTAAAGTGTGTGCTGCATTTTTGTCGCGCTGCAGTTGTTGTAGTTTTCTGTTGGATTGTGTGTATTAATTTTTGCCTTGTTGCTAAAGTTACGAATTTCCACCCACTCCAATGTCACTTTTGAACCAAGTAGCTAGCTATTGGTCGGCGCTGTGAATTTGATTGTCAAAATTCACCAAATTTGAACCCAACGCAAAATTTATATTTGGAAATTTCTTCACCATCAGAAGTCCACTGGGCGAAATTCTTCATTGCGCGGATTGCCAGTAAAATGACTGGATTGTGGATATTCATTTTTGCTTTGTTGGCTTGCTATTGGTCGGCACTGCGAATTTGAGTGTCAAAATTTGAACCCAACTCCAATTTTGCATTGGGAAATTGCAAAATTTTATAGCGCAACAATAAATGTGATTTACTGTGATTTTAAGTGCGATATTATTTGGACAACAGAATTGGATAATAGTTCCTAAAATTAATTAATTGGCTTTTATATTGTCGTTATGCTAAAGAAGTTCTACATTGTACTACTTTTTATGCTCGAATTGTGCCAATTTTCTGTTCCTGATTCACTGTCCTCATCACACAAACCTCATGATATGTTGGTAAAAACTGTGAAAATGACTTCACATCTGTCACTTCTCCATTTCGCTCAGCCTTTTGCTTTGATTTCCCCTTCTTTGTCAGCTCAAACCAAAGTGATGTTTTTAGAGGTCATCCACCAAGTTTTTCATATTTTCTCTAAGCAGCAGCGTTCACCTTTGTCCTGCTCAGCTGGACACAATGTAATATGCTTATCGCCATCTATTTTTGCTAAATATTGTGTTGGGAGTTAATCCCTGCCGGAAAATCCAGCTTAATCTGCTCTCTGTTTTGGAGCGTGGCAGCCGATCTAATCTAGTCATGAGCTGGTAAATCATCTTGGACCAGCAATCAACCTGCTGCGTTATGCCACCAAAGTGTAAATGTAAAGAGCCGCAAGGGCTGAGGGCGTGAGTCAGAACAGGAAGTAGTGTTAGACCACTTCCTGAAATGCAGGGTCTGTGGTTGCATTTGCTTTCTTGTGTCAATTTGAAAAAATATATTCTCTCCGAACCCCGATGTTCACTATTCCTGGTTCGAGATCAGCAGGTTTAAGGGAATCAGCTCAGAACTGTTTTCTACAGTGGAAATCAGTGTTTGATATACAGTATTTATTTATTAATATATTTGTTACTGAACTTAAAACTACAAAAAATTGTTTTTGAAAATGTAATTAATTTATTTAAATAAAATAATAAGAAAAACATTTAAGTACTTAAATGACTAAAACCATAACTAAAGTAAACATAAATTAAATATAATCAGAAATATTAAAAACAATAACCAATAACCAACCAAATTACAAAACCAATAAAATGGCAAAAGTTACTAGAATTTAAACTAAAATTTAAATGAAAACTGAAAATAAAAGCTAATAATAACAATTATGGTATAGCTGATACCAGTAAATGGCTGATATTAATGTTATATAAAATATTTTTTCTAAATAAATGGAAAATTAAATACTTAAAATTTAAATAAAAAACGAAATTAAATTAAATACATTAAACAAGTGCATTTAGGCATCACGAGCCTGATTTATTTAATCAGTTAGTATTTAATATAATTATTTAATAATAACAATGTAATGGCTAATTATTAAAATTCCAAACTAAATTGCCTAAATAATTAAAAAAGTGAATCAGTAAAAATAGATTTTTGTGAAAAAAATCTGAATTTAGGGATTACAACATTATAATGTAAATGATGAAAATGGATACTCATTTTTCATTACTTAATAATATTATTTTCAAATAATTTCTAATAAGTATTTTAATATAATTATTTATTATTAACAGTTTTGTTAAAGGGTTAGTTCACCCAAAAATGAAAATTGGCTTGTGTTTTACTCACCCTCGAAGCATCCTAGGTGTATATGACTTTCTTCTTTTAGACGAATCCAGTCGGAGTTATATTAAACGCTGTCCTGGGTCTTCCGTTACGGCGGATGTCGTAGGATGTCGGCGTTGCGTGATTAGTGACGAATGCAGAGAGACAACAAAACAAAACTCCGGTCACGAATTAGAAGTACAAACCGAGGATTTGCAAAGAAAAATGTCGGAGGATTTCGATATAAACCAAGAGGAGAATGTTTTTTCTTTGCTAAAGTAAGGAAACTTTGCTTCCTTTGCTCCTATAAACAAACTCACGAAACTAGCATATTTCAGAGGCGCGCGCGCTGCGCATATGTGCTGTGTCATCCGCCGGAACTGCTTCAGTGTATGACAGTCAGCGGAAGTGAGAGAAAAGTGTTTATTACGTTTGAAATATGGATATTTTTCTTACAAAAACACATGGATTCGCTACAGGGGGCCTTTATTCATCCCCCGGAGCCATCTGCGGCACGTTTATTACGGATGCGCG